TTAACACGCCCTTAGCGTACGACAAAATAAAATTTCAAACATTCAGATTTAGAATCGTACAAGATGAAAACTCTATTGATCAAATATTCGGCGTAATTAAAGTACGACCATTGACAAACTCAAAATATGTTTGCCAAGCTACAATAGAAGATTTAATTACCGCGTACCCAAATTATGTACTAATGTAACAAATAATTTGAAAAATCGATATTACCAAATTAATAAAATACCCGGTAATACAAATCCGACCACATCAAACTAGGTTTGAGCCGGAGACGGTATACCGACACAGCATCCACGTGATTCATCTCTCTTATCGACACAGCAAAAGTTGACATGATTAATAATTCGTGTCATCATTTTAGTTATTGTGCTTCGATAAAATGATAAGATTGGCAAAATGAAATGTCAATTGCTGTGCCGATAAGAAAGATGAATCACGTGGATGCTGTGTCGGCAGACTCTTACCCAGTATCGCCATAAAAATTTCACCCCAACGTGACCAACGAAAAAATTCTTTATGTTCGTTTATGTTAGTGTTAGTGCCCAGATTAGCATTAGAATTTTGGTGATTATATGGTAAAATCGCGTAAGGAAAACTTTTCGTTAGTGCACGAAAGGTAATTTCTTATGCAAATTCTTGAGAAATAGGCGATATTTGACAAAAAAGCCGTTTGTTTTGAATTTTCCTGATCGTGTAACGTTACATTAAATCAGTATCTTTTATTGGTCAATAATCACGTGGGTGAAAATTTTTATGGTGATACTGGGGTAAATGTCGGTAGACCGTCTCGGTAAATGACCTGTAATGACCCAAATGACCCAAATGACAAATGACTAGTCATTTGTCATTTCAAGACCAAAATGACCTTAGAAGGTCATTTAACATATGTTAGTTAATATTCTCGTTCAGAATTGGCCGCCAAGCAAAATTTATTTTTTAAAACATAATCACTAACCGTAGCTATATATCAAAATCAAAATGTTACTAAATCAATTAATATTTGTCTTAAGTTGATCGGGATAATAAATTGCATATGTTCTTGGGGTGTCACCAATTAGTTTAATCACAAACATATTGCAAGATACATAGTAAAAATCATTATTGAAGATTTTTTTTAATCGATTGCGAAATTTTCAAATTATATTAAATCATCAATAAAAAATGCTTTCGCGTAAATTTCAATACCTTTTGTTATATTAATTCTTTTATAATTCTGCGATATTTATTCTTTAAGAGTGTCTCTATAAAGTAATAATCACATATTTTAAACATTAATTGCTTTTATATTACGTCAACTAGTATTTATTAAAAGCTTAAAAATCATCGCTTAATATTTTGATTATATACTACTGTACTATTGTCATAAGCATTTAAGCATTACATCACTAACATAATAATAAAAATATTAATAAATTTAAAATATGCGGTTAATACTTAATAGAGGCACACTTAAATAATAAAAATCAACTTGCGAAATTAAAAAAAAATTAATATAGTTATTAAAGACATTTTTTATTAAAAATTTATTATAAATCGAGAATTTTAAAATCAATTTCAAAAGACTCGTCACTAATGATTTTTACTATATGTCTTACTCTAAGTTTGTGATTAAACTGATTGATGACACCACAATATGTTCTGTAATTGAATAACTTTTTATTAATCCACTTCTTCTATATTAAAAAATTTTAAATTTTTTCGTGTAAACGTAATATGCAGAATTGATAAAAATATATTTATTTAATTTGGATAAAAATTTCAAAATACACGCAATTTATTATCCCGAAAAACTTTACTTAAGGCATAAATATTAATTGCCTTGTAAAATTTTTATTTTAGTATATAGCTACGATTATCACTTAGAAAATTATTAAAGTTCAATAATTTTTATAAGTAATTCAACCAATAAAATCACTTTATTTGAAAATGACCCAATTGACCTGGCCATTATTTGATGACTTGAAGGTCATTTAAAGTTTGATCAAATGACTTGGTCATTTACTATTCCTGTGATAAATGAAGTTTATGCTATGCTGTGATTGGCTTGTTTAATTTTTGGGGAAACAGTTATCTGAGCGGGAGATGATATTAACCGACTAAACTTTGAACGGCCTAAGTACATAAAAATAAACATTTAAACAAATTATCTTATCAAATTTGTTAATACATATCTGAGTGGTTTGTAAATTGCATAAACAAAAAATCAAAATACAAATACTCGAACCTTGTTGAATAGTATAAAAATATATAGAAAATAACTTATAGATCAAATATTTATCTTTAATATTAAATTTATAACTACGTACATTTAAAAGTGACTTAATTACGTATGCGCTACCTTACATTTTTGTTAGTAAGATAATTATATAGCGAGGCTGCTAGTCAGTAACTAGTATTTTTTAAATATCCTTGGCTCCTTTTGCTTTCTTTGTCCCTTTCAACCTTTATTTCATTTTCTCAAACTCAATTTTACCATATGTTTTTGCTATAATATGTCTACAAAAACTATTAACCAAACAACATATTTCTATCAAATTTTCTATAATACACTTCAAACAATCTTTTACATATGGTTCACCTTCTCTAGGAATTTTTATCAAATCATTATTTAGCTTCAATTCATAAGTAAGTTTTCCCCAAAAATCTGTAGCAATAACATAATAAAATTTAAATAAAGTTAACAATTAGCATCAATTATTTATCAAAAATATAAATAACAAAATGGACCTGATATTTTTTGAATGTAGGTTGGATCAAAAAATGTAATCTACTTCTTATATATTCTAATTTGGTAGTTAAATCATACATTGATTTAATTGAATAATACGATGAAAGTATTTATCAATTTTCTGATTTATTTTTTGAAAAAAATTTAAATGTTATATTTATCAAAAATTATTGCCAATTCTTTATCTTTTTAATGTTCTCTTTTTGAATTAAATGCAATATACTGCCTAAATCTTCAGATTTTTTAGTCAAGTAATTTCTAATATTGTCAACTTTTGTCAATAATTTTTTCTTGAATAATATTAAAGAGAGCAAGGGTGTCATTTTTGTTCAAATTGTTAAGAACTTCATAAAATTGGTTAAATTTTCTAGCAATTTAGCATAATCTTCAATCTATTTAAGTAAATTTCGAGCAATCTTATCAACTAAGTTGATTTCATTTGGACTAGTTGAGGTATATAAAATGAGAATATATAATGATAAATAAAATCTTTATAAATCTACTTATGCGAGCATTCGTTCAAAGTCATTTACTATGTCCTGGATAATAATAACCTTTATTATAAAGATTTAATTGCTTTAATAATACATAAAATTGCTTATATTTAAACAATTATTAATTGGTAAAAAAATTTAAATAATTACTAATTGGTAAAAAAAATTTTAACCAATTATTAATTGGTAAAAAAATTATCCAATTATTAACTAGTAAAAACCTTTCTTAGCCAGTTTTTTTGTCTTTTATATTCAGAGATGTTAATTTGTTCCAAAATTCATCCGCTACAATACTAATATCTTTAATAATTTTTTGAAATGGGTTAACATCAATAACTTTACCATCAGGTGTTAATCCTAAATGGTTTAGCAAGTCATTGCTCATAATTCCTTGAGGATCAAATTTTTGAATTTGTTTGATAAACAAAGAAATAGGCTTTGCTCCATAAGAATTTATAAGATACTGGTGATCAAGTAAAGATGAAAAATATTGACCCCAATGACATCTTGCATTAAATTTTAGTGCTGTTTGTAGTAATGCGTCATAAGTCTTCTTGTAATAAGTGATATGTGGTTCCTGAATTTAAAAAAACAATTATAGTGTGCAAAAAACGCATACAATTTTAATAATAATGATAATACTTACATAAAGTAAAATTGGCATTTCAAGATAAGCTCTAGGTTCATTGTCAGCATTATAAGCCATAGAAAGATACTGAGAAGAAGCTGCAGAAAACCTTAGAGAAGCCGGACCATTGATGTTTAAATTGTGTTCTTCTCTAATCTTTTTGAGTGTTTGAAGAATTGCATCGATGGCAGCAATGTAATTATCATCTTTCATTGAAAATGAAAACTCTATTGCTATTACTTTAAAATCATTGACCAATCCTATTATATCAAATTATACCAATATATTTCACATGAATTTTTAGACAAAATGCATTAAAATAATTATTGATAATAAACAACCTTATTATTTTTTGGGAGAAGACATACCAACTGGATAAATATTATCATAAGTATCAACTTTAGGATCTTTATGATATTGAGTTCTAGTAGCAAGCTCAATCATAGATGGAACGGTAGCTGGAAACAAGTTTAACAGCAAAAACAAAGCACCACCCACACTAACAGCTAAAAATTTAGAAATTCCTTGTACTATGGGCAATTCCATAAATTCTTGAAGCAATATATTAATTTCGGGTTTTGGATAATTCTTCTTATCTTCTTGAGTTGCTTTATTCCTTTTGGTTATTAAAGCATAATCAGTGTACGGACTAATCCAAACTTCACAATTACGATATTGGAGATAAGGATTGGAAGAATAAGGTTTTTGTTTTAGAATAGTTTTGGCATGGTCCCACGTGGTTTCTTCTCGAGTCTCAATAATAGAATAGAGAGAAATTGAGTATATTGTTATTTCATAAGTTATTCCGAGAGCACCAATGTGCACTATGCTAGCGTTAAAAGTTTCATCATCTTGAATTAGACTGATATTAGGGAATTTAAGCTGGAATTTGAGTGGATCAGTTATCCCTTGGGATGGTTCAATTCGATAAAGTTTCCCGCCTATAGTTAAAAGAGAATGATTAGATTAAAAGAGAATGGTTAGTAGTCCAAAAAAAATAATTATTAAATAATTTAAATATAATACTGTATATTATTACAGTATACGATATTTACCAGGAGTAATTATGCTGACTGATACAATAAATGCATGCAATGGTGGGAGTGTGACACCACTACCATGAGTAGACGTCGCATTAGCACTATAGGTGAAATAACAATAGATCAAATTAATAAACTCTCCAATCAAAATAAGCAAAGCTTTTAGACATAAATAATCATACCTCACGATACATTGGCCTTAAATAAAGTTAAGAAATAAGTAGTAGTAAATTTTAATAAAAGCATGTAAGGAAAGACAAACATACCTCCCCAACCATCTAAATTGAACAAAGCTCTATTATCTTTTTTTAATTCTTTAACAACATCATGAATAGTATTTCCACATTTTACGTCATAATAAACAATGTCATCTTTTTCGGCTTGAGCTTTGATATTTTCTCTTAATATATCCAAAGAGGTTTTTGAAATTCCAGTATATTGGTTTGTTTGTAAAAGATAGCCATCTGTTTCGGTAATTCCGCTAGCAAAGATTCCAAAATTTATTAGTTTTACGATCAAATAGATAAATAATCGATTGGAATTACCTGAATGCAGCAAAGGATCCGATAGCCTTAACACGCTTCTCCTCCTTAACTGAAGCTTTCATGATTTCAACAAGTCGATCGAATGACGTAACATCTTCAATGTCGGCTTTGAACGTGATATTTCCACCTTGATTTGTTGCCACCTCTAAAAACAAACAAAATAAGGATTCTATAAATGATCTACCCATGTACATGGATGGTAGAAATCATATTTTTTATTTTATTTATATTTATATATGAATGTGATCAAAGGAAAACCTGCTATCGGCTTTTATTTTATATTTATTCAGGACTTCCGGACTTATTCATTAAAAATCTGATCAGCAAAATATTATACGGTAAATATAATACATGCTGATGGATTTTCAATGATGAGTCCTGAAGTCCGAAACTAAATATAATTGAAAGCCCGATAATAGGTTTTCCCTTGACTATACTTATATATATTTTTTATTTTCAGTGATAATACTGTAATAATAAATATCCTGATCAATGCAGGACAATTGTTCGCGATTGAACATATAAGATTGCGCTTATGTGACTATTGGACATATAAAACTTTATATATCCAAATTTATGAAAATTTGTTGGACATATGTCCAAGGCCAACACCAATATTAATTGCGAACATATTTAATCCAAAATATTGTTAATCTTCATTGTCTGAAACGATTTGAGACTATGGTACCCAATCTAATATTGGCATACTTTTCTAGCATATTTACTTGTAAATGATTTGTGCAGTCGATTATCGCTCTTTTCGATTTAGTTGGATCGATGATCTTTGTAATTTTTTTAAGTCTCGTGAGTCCGTGAATACAACATAAACAGCCACTTATGTTCGTCGTATTTTCTGAACCTTATTTATCGTCAAAAGGAATAATTAGAATGAATCTCGCAAAATACGACGAAGTTGAAGTGAGTACCATATTGTAATCACGGGTCTCACGGAACTCAAGAAACTTACGTAGGTCGTCAATCCAACTAAATCGAAAAGAGCAATAACAGTTCGTGATTTTCATAAAGATAAAATTTACTATTGGTTTGATGATAAACTGTTACCGTAAAATGCTGACTGATGTATCTGAGTATTTACAAAACTTTGAGATGTTCCCTGTGTTACTTTTTTTTTTTTTTGTTCAAGTTTGTCAATTGTTAACATTTTGCACTAGCTGGGTATTCTCCAAAGCATAATATGTAAGCATCCAGATATATAAATCAAATTTAATCCCAAAATTACCATTGGGTACGAGAGATTTACTAATCAGCATTTTCGGTAAAAGAATGCCGAAAACTTATGTCAACGCATCCAAAAACTTTAAAGAATAAAAACCTAATTGGGAACCGGTATGGTCTTCATGTTCTTTAGTAATTTCTTTATGAGCTCTTGGAACCAAATTTTCTGAATATCATGAAAGATACATTCATTAAAAAGCCAAATGCATAATTATATGTCAACTTTTTTATTTGACAAAAATACCTAATTTTTCCACGATGGCTTTGTTCTTCACAAATATATCATTCAATTCCCTAAAGTCGTTACCATCATAAATTTCACGCGCTTCTTTAATTAAGGATTCCATAGTGTTATACGTTGCGGCTTCAAATTTTATGATGACTGTAATTATACAACTTCCTGTAAGAAGTATCACTAATTGTCCAGAGTAAAATGTTATACAGTTTTATTTCGCGGTGGAAACTAGTTATATAGATGGGTATCAAAATTCAAAAAAGGAAGTTGCAACAATATCACCTGATTATTGTTTATTATTTATTTCCTTTTGAATTTCGACGCCCATCCGCATCTACAGAAACTAAAAATTCATTGAAGCATTGTTACACTACTTGGGATGAGAAAAATGCGCCATATCGATATTGATTTGATTTTCTGACCGTTTTAGATAAAAAGTTACACAAAATTTGTAATGTAACGAGACATTTGTTATAACTAATAAAGTTTTTTTTAGCATCTAGACAAGACAAATAAAAAAAACAAATCAAAATCAATAATACAGCAAACCTAACCTGTAGTGAGAAGTACATTTACTGTTTGTTGATATATCCGGGTGTTTGATTTGTAAAGGGTCAATTCAGAAGCGAATTTTCAAAAAAAAAAAAAGACCTTTTTAACTTGCTTTGGTCTATAATACATAATAAATAAAATACATTTTTCTATATAATTGGTTAGAATTACAAAGCTAAAAAGGCCATTTTTATGAAAATCTGTTTCATGATAAATTTTAAGCACAAGATGTTTTAATAGTCTTCAATTATGGTTAGTTTATTTAAGGGTCAAACAATATCAGCCAATATGCATTTTATAATACGTAACATGCGCATGATATATAAAATAAGATGTCATTTTGCCTTCCATCTTTATATCGACATAGGCATCTTAATTTTACCTTTAAGTATTAGCATTACGTATTAGCATTACGTACATATTATGTAATTCAGATGATTCTTGGATAAGCGCGTAAACGCTACTACTTCTGCGTAGACGCTATAATCTTGGCGTTCATGTTATGAGAAATTAGACTGGTGTATATAAACGTTGTCGTTCACTTTCCGAAGCCCACCTTCCAAAATATTATTTCTCTGACCATAATTCTGATATCCCTTTTCCTGACAAGACCCATTTCCGACAACTTAGTTTATTTCACCGAAAAATAATTCCAGTCATTGTCATTAGGGTCGGTTTAGAATTAGAGTTAAGGTTAGGCCAGACCAATTTAATTCGGTGGTTTACGTTACCCCCCCCTCTTCTGACCTCCCCCCCCTCTATATGTGCGGAAAATTTCGGAAAACTTTTATTATATCGCGGATCATTTCGGAAAAAATTTTATAATAAACTCCCTCCAGCCCGTCCCCCACCCCCCCTCTTTTGTGAGAAGGATGTAACGTAAACCACCGAATTAAATTGGTCTCGCCTTAGTGCAATTTTTAAAAAAATTTGTCGGTGGAATGAACTGTCGGGTAATCATCGGTGAAATAAACTTCTCGATAAATTGATTTTCGATGAAATGGTATTTCAGAAAAATGGACTTCTGGAAGTTAACCCGGAACATATAAAAGTTTGTTCTCACCTTAGTTCACTATCCATGTATAGAAATACGAGTTCTCAATTTTTCGTCAGATTTCCGCATTTTTTTTTACATCAACCATCGGGAGTTAAACTCGGCGCGATTGTAGAATCTCCCATACGATGGTTACTATAGCTGTGCGATGTGGTGATCATCAAACTAATAAAATCAACATTAATTAGGGTTGCATGCGATAAATATTTTTTATGAAATCCGAATTTACTGCGGATATTACCAACTTTTGGTACGCTTTTCTCTTGAACTAGTATAATAATTAATGGTCTAGTTTTTTTAAAAAAAAGATAGAGCATAACTGTATACTTTAATGTAATAGAGTCATTTTTTCGATTTATATTATTTTATAAGTAGTGAATTCTTGCGTAATAAAAGCTACCAATTAAAAAAAATTCGACATAAAAAACTATATTCTTCGCTCAAAAAGTGTACCTTTAGTAGTTGTTTTAAAAAAAATCTACGGCATACAGTATTGCACTAATAAAGAAAACAATCTATATAGTTAATTTTCCGAAATTTCTGAAATTATTACAATAACCGATAAAAAATCCTCAATAATAAATGCGTAATACGTATAATTTGTCATTGCAATGAGTTATGTATTAGAATTTTAGAAAAAAAAATATTGGTACAGAAACATTTAATATGACCGAAGAGATACCGTATAGTCGCGAAATTTAGCCTCATTAATTTAGTCCCCTGCGCGTTAATTTGGGACGTTCATGGGCGTTATTTTGAACCAATTGACATTTTTTTTAAAAAGATTAATACCTTAATTTTACAGCTCATATCCAGTGTTTAAAATTCGGATATGCATATAATTTTATTTTTATATGCACATATTTATTATTTCTGAATGATACCAACGTTATAAATTACTATACAATATATCATATTTTTTCGGTATATTTCGGATATTTTCGTATTTTATGTTCATTTTTTCTTTCGAAGTTTATCGACGAGAAAAAATTAGGATTAAATTTATTAAATTTAGAATAAAAATAAATAAATGAGGATTAAATTTATTAAATTTAGAATAAAAATAAATACATGAGCATTATATTAATATTTAAGGGTGATAATATTTTGCTTTTGCAATTGCAGTTTCGATTCTTTTGTGCAATCTTTTAGCGATTGCTTTTACTTTATGTACATCTTCTACATATGCATCATTCCATGCCGGAAAAGATTTTGGTATTGGTAAATTATCTTTTTTTGCGGCGATTGGTAATTCCTTTTCAAAGTTTTTGAAATGTGTTTCATATTCATCATTGATCGTGTTCAACTTTTTCAAAAGTCTAGAATAGATACCGTTACGTTGTACCGCAATAGATTTTAGATGGTGTCCTATTTTTTCTTCAGGAGCTCTGGGAGTTGCGGGAGATGTATGAACCATAACAATGGCAAATACCAAAAACATGAATAAAATTGATATGAATTTCATGATTGTTTAAAGGCAAAGAAAAGTGAGAGAGAAATTCTTGTGTGGAAAATAAAGATATTAAATGAATTTAATGAATTTATTTAATAGTAAAGGTTGATAATAAACTGTGAAGGTAAGAATTTAGACATATTTATATAAAAATTGTTATCTTAAATGCCAAACCAATCTGAATATATTCATCATACTGACAATCAAGTTCGAATGATAATTTTCATTGTAATTGATTTCAAGTAAGACAGGTTGAATAAAATTTGAATAATGACTGGCGGTTTATCGCCGTTTTCAAAATGAAGCATGCGAGTGTTGAAAGAATATTTTTTGAAATTCGTGATTAATTTGTCAAAATTAAAGATGACGATACAGGTGTGTTGAATTGTAATCTAAATAGGTTCCCATTCTCTGACGATCCTCTTAAGATAATGCTGATACTTTTGACTTGGATTACCCAGATTTTAAGCCAATTTTTATGTAAAAGCACCGGGAAATCGTCAACAGTTAATTACCGTAAATGGCCGGATACAAGATCCCCCTAGATAGTAGATCCACTATGTGCTATACCCGGGTCTACAATATAGGA